TGTGTGTGTGTGTGTGTGTGTGTGTGTGTGTGTGTGTGTGTGTGTGTGTGTGTGTGTACATGTTTTTGTTACCTGGTGGAAACGCTTTTTGACTATTTTCCTGGTACACACAGCCCTGTGAGGACCCACTGTTCCTTATGGGGACAGAAACAAAGTTCCCAATGGGGAAAATACTGATGATGGGTCAGGGGTTAAAGTTGGGACTTAGGTGTGAAAAGAGTTTAGGTTAAGTTTAGGGTAAGGTTAGGGTTAGGCTATGGAAATGATGGGAAAATGAATGAAAGTCAATGAAAAGTCCCCATTAGGATAGAAGAATAAATGTGTATGAGAGAGAGAGAGAGCGAGAGAGAGAGACCAGGCCAAAGAGCAGGATCTTAGCAGGATGCTGACAAAGACACTCAGGCTAATCCTGCTGGCTGAGCACAAAAAAAGAAAGACTTGTGAGCAAACTGTAAAAAAAAAAAAATTGCCAGGGGGACACCCAAGAGAGAGAGACGATGGAAATCCGACTAAAGCGATTCAGCTTTAAAAGAGTTTTTTTTCTTTCAGAACTTAAATTTGAATTAAAACTGACAAGCTTTCCTTGTGGGCAGTTACATTTAGTTTTGTTTGATTTTTAAAAGACACTCGTGCTTCAGGGAGTCTGTGGTTTGTTTCTTATCAACAACATTAGAGACTCAGGAGGTGGATTTTTCATTGGTGAACAGACTTTGGGCTCCTCTGGGCTTGATGGCTGCCAATAAAAACAGCTGTTGAGGATTCCAAATTAAAGTGGGCCTGTGAAAGACTCACTGGATCCTGATGTTAGTATAAAAATTGATGTGAATCCTTCTGTTCATGAATGAGGGTGGATTGCAGACCTGATGCAGACCCATCATCTGTAGAAAAAACATAAAACACCAGCCTCTTTTCTATGAGTCCACTCCTGTCCATTAAACAGGTGTAAGACAGAGGATAGCCATCCTGGTGGAGTCCAACCTGTGCCACGTTCCAAAGATGAGTTCACAGCTCTGGTTCTGCAGGGACTCTAGAACCACACTCAGACTTCCCGAACAGCACGGTTTAAAGTTTTCTCTGGATCCACAAGACGTACTGTATTTGGGACCAAACTCTAACCCTGCATTCTGCAAGCTGTTTGATCCATGCCGACTGTAAATAATATTATAGACAGGTCATTGTTTTCCTGTGCAATTCTGCTCGATTTAAAGCCTGCAAGAAGGGGCTGGTTTTTACCAGGCTAGGAGTTTTATGCTGCCTTCTAATGAAATGAACACAACTGAACTGTTTGCACTTCCTTCCTTTGAAATACATTTATTTTATTGCACATAGACTTATTCGCTTCACATCTAGAAAGCCCATGTGTAGTCTAAAAAACTTCCACATGATGGCAATGAAGATCCCTGCAACCTGGGGGGATGGGGGGGGTGGGGGGGGGGGGGGGGTCTGTGTGTGAAGGGGAGAGGGCGATACATCTGCAAGACTGTGTTGCAAAAGATTATATGACTCTATTTCTTTATCTTGTAAACATGAATCCTCTATCCTGATTTTAAAATGGTCATTTTTTAATTTTTATAGCAGACCTTGTTTTGTTTGTTTTGACAAATTAATGGCACACACCATAAACAGKATTCTGTTATATTGTACAAAATGAGTTTATCTCTTTTTTTTTTTACCAGCATTGCAGCTGGTTAAGGGAGGAGAAAACAGTTAAATTTAACATATTTCATGTGAATCATTACGGTAAAACAATAAAAATGTATTGCTTTATCCTTTAAAGACCAGAACGCATTTATAAAGAAGTCATAGGATGTAAAGATAATCTGAAAAGAACAATCTGGAGCAGGTTTGTCTGGTTTCATGTCTCATYATCATGAACATTGGGTCATTATAGTTGAGGAGTTCATCGCCCTCTAGTGGTGAAAATACTTCACTGTCACAGCCTGCAGTAGATCCAAATGTTTTATGCTGTTGATAGGAACAGATATTTTGTGTGATTTTTATAATAAAACGCCAAAAAGCTGTGAACTCAAACCCAGTCTGATCCCCCATGCCTGCCTCTACTCTCAGCCAAACATTCACCCTAGATTTAAAACATTTGTAAAGGAAAATAGACTTGAATAAGACTTACTTTGATTCATTTTGTTCCCAGCAAACAAGGTTTCCTTCTCAATCCAAAAGTTTATTTCCCCATTGGTTTTTCCAAACTTCTGCTGGTCGTCTTCCTGCTGTTGTCGCCACAGCAAATCGGTCTCCTCCATCAACCACCTCCACATCCTCCTCTAACTGCACTGCTTCCATCTGCAGTTTGTCGAGCGCCTGTGGCAGTAATTAACCTGGGATTTGATTGATCCGGTACAGTGTTGGTTTGAACTTGTTTAGGCGTGCTTTATACCGGACGGCCTTCCTGAACCGGGCTTGGCCCTGCCATGACAAACACACTCCATGGTGGCTGTTAAAAACCAAAAATCATTCAAGCTCCAAGATGTTTCACATTAAAGGTGACATGTCATGCAAAAGCCACATTTTGAGCCCTTAAATCGGGTGTCAAACGCATTTTCACCGAGGGCCTCATGAGCGTTATGGTGGCCCTCGAAGAACCAGCTGTAATGAACTTTGACGTTTCATGTTTAACTTTGACTAAACAGTGTTTTAACACGTCCTTTTTTAAACACTGACAAGAACTAAGTGTATGATTGACTAWATCTGAAATAAATACAGAAATATTATTTAGTTTATGGTTGATGCTGACTTTAAGCAGCTCATTTTCAGACATTAATACTGTGCTATCCAACTAAATTACTCAGTTACAGGAATTTATTAAATTTTATTTTTATTTCATTTATTTTTATTAAATTTATTTTGTTGCATTTAATCATAAATTTAAAGTTTACCATTGATAAAAGAAACAAATTTCATGCAAAGTAAAAAAAGTTTTTTTGGGCCACACGGGTGTCACCCTTGTGTTTGACGCATGCCTTAAATATTTTGTTGTGTACTTTGGAGTCTCTAGGAGAGTTGCATTCAGTCTCCCCGACCTGCAAAGATACTGTTTGGGTCATATTTTTCAGTCTGTTCAGATTTCTCTATAACTATTATATTTTCTGAACATGTCACAGTATTGCTGTAGAACTGCTGAACAAGTTCATTAACTACCAGCTAAACAATTTCCCAAATTTGCAATTCTGCAGAAATTCTATGACTCTGGCTCCAACATGTAAGGCAGGATGGACAAATCTTCTGTTGTTGACATCTTTTAGTTAGTAAACAAAAGGTTTCCATGACTGCTAGACTGCTAGCAAACTACAAAAATGGCCGACAGGCTGAAGTGGACAATGATTGTTAGGAGTGGAAAGCTTTGCGACAGAGTTGATCTCAGAACAGGGGGTGAAAAGGGGGTCCGCGGAGCTACGACAACAAGGAATTCAGACCAAACCACTGCAGTTCTACTAATTTATCAACAACCAGAGGGTGAACAACTCAACTCAGTCGAGAAGTCCAAAATAAAGACTTAGTAAAACTTAAAACCTCATTTGACAGAGTTGGAATGACCCATTTTATTGTGGGCAGTTGAGATACATGGGTGTAAATAGCAACAAAAAGAAGTTAATGGTTGACTTCTTTACATTACATTCTAACAAAGAAGTGATGGTCTCGCAGTCATTTCAATGTACACTTCGGACGCTTCAGCTGGCTCCGAGGACGTTTATATTACTCAATCATCTGTGTTAAAGACAGTTAATATAAAATATAAAGCAACTCATGACTAAAGGTTTAACTGGTTAACACTTTAAATCACACCTCTATGTCTACTTTATTTTAATACAGCCATACAATACAAGTATACAAGGTTATTTTGTGGTTAGAAGGGGGAAAAAAAACACAACTGAAGGGAGGTGCAGAGAGGCAAACACAGTTGCTTTTTAAAATCGCTAGAATGTGTGAATCAAGCTGACAGAGGCCTTTTTTTCTCCTCCGTTTTAAGGGTATGATTCTATGTTGCAGGAGAAAATGAAAAAAAAAAAAAAACACATTCTAAACACAGCCTGAGACACGTGTACAATATGCACACTTGAAGGGAAATAAAAGCAAAAATTAAAACTCATATATACCACCGTCTGTCTGATTTCTCAGGTAAAAATAAATCTCTAATATTCATCCATGAATTCCATCTTCTAGTACCAAAGTGTCAATAAAGAAAGAACTGCTGGCCGTGTCTTTTTTAAAGGGGTTGGAAGGGGGTTTCAACGTGATCCTCATCCAAAACGACAGCAGAAGAGGTGTGGGGGGGGCTCAGGAAAAACCAGTTGGATTTCAGTGTCTTTGTGTCTTTTAATCTGTCAGATTTTCTCTAGAAATCAAAAAGTCTCAAGCTTTTCATTACGTCTTCAAAAGAGGTTTCACGTGTGCCAGTAGAACGCTTGTGTGTTTGTTTTTGTTGTCGTTTTCGTAGCTTGATGTCGACAAACGGGTTCTCATTGGTTGTTCTTGGCTTTGGCGTGTGTGAGGATGTGAGACTTTAGGTTGGTGGACTGGGCGAACTTCTTATTGCAGCCGTCAAAGGGGCAGACGTATGGTCGGTCTCCAGTGTGGATCCTCACGTGTGTGCGCAGGTTGAAGTCCAAAGAAAACCTTTTCCCGCAGCCTTCAAAGGTACACTGGAATAACAGAGACTCATCAAACACACAAACACGACAGCTCAAACAAACCGTTCCAAAAYGCTTCTCTTTATACGAGTCTAGCTTTAAGAGGTGAATTTTAAAAAGAGGGTTGTTTTGAGGCCAACCTGGAAGGGTTTCTCCCCTGTGTGAACGAGTTGGTGGCGCTTGAGTTTGGAGCTCTCCACGAAGGCCTTGCCGCACTCTGCGCAGACGTGCACACGAGGCCCGTGGGTGTGGAGATGCTTCCTCATGGCCGAGTTATCCCTGAACATCTTTGTGCAGCCCTAAAGAGCAATAACAAAAAATAAAAAAGCCCTTTAATGATGTGGAACCCGACTAAATGCCACTCAAGAGCTTTTAATGATTTTAGAGAGTAGAGCTTTTCTGAAAAAGACCCTGAAAAGAGCAGAATGATGAATCTATTCTACCCTCAATTGGTGATGTACTGTTCAAAACCCAAACTCGAAGAGACTTTTGAACAAAAAAAATATTTACATTAGCCAGTTAGCTCTCCTCTCCATGTTTATAATTACCTCTGTTAATAACTGTTTGTTTTTCCTGTCTTTCTTCCCAGAGAAACTACACCCAGACCAGTAAATCTGTGTTTGTCTGTGTCTACTTCCTGTCTCTATAAACCCATCCTGAGCCTGGTTCCGCTTGAGGTTTATTTTTTTCCTGTTAAAAGGGAGTCTTTCCTTTCCACTGTCATCAATGCGCTGTTCAGGTTGGAAGATTGTGACAAAATGAAGCTTTGACACAATCTGCTGACCTCTTTAAATAAATAGCTTTTATTAATTGGCATCTTATAACGTATATGAATGTTTTTGTACAGAGCCCTGAGAAGACTTTTGTTGTAAATTGGTGCTATCTAAATAAAATACATTTAACTGGTTTAGATAAAGCCCAACTATAAATGTATAAAACAAAGAAACTTTTAATTTAAACAGTCGGAAACAATAAGTAAACTAGTCAAACACTAGGGCTGCCACGATTAATCGATGACTAATCGATTATTAAAATAATCTATGACTAATTTAATAATCGATTAATCGTTTTCTTTTCTTTCTTTTTTTTTGTTCTTTACTTTGTTTTTCCTCTCCAAACTGCTTTGACACCTTCCACTGCCACATCTGCCTTTCTGTCCTTGACACACATGCACAGTAGTGGTAACTGGGGTAGGCCGTGGACGTCACAAGACATTATACAGACAGGCTCTGGTATCATGGCTACCTGACAACRGAGCTCAAAGTGTGGGATCATTTTAAGAAAATGAAAGAGAAACCTGTGTAATWTCTGCAGAGCAGAACTTGCCTTCCACAGCAGTTATTTTTAGTTAGCATATAGCTAAAATCTAACCATGGTTATATAATAGCAGCTGCATTCTGGTGCGATAAGCTCTATGTTTTATATTCGATTAACATATGATCTGATTAGTCAACTAATCGAAAAAATAATCAGTGATTAATCGATTATAAAAATAATCATTTGTGGCAGCCCTATCAAACACTGACTCACTTTATGAGGACAGGCTATCGTCCGGGGAGCATCATCTTCTTTGACCTTCCTGGGCTTCATTCTGTTTGGAGAGATTAAAAACAAGATGCATGATCAGAAAATTTACCTGGAACCAAAAAAAAATAAATAAATAATTGCAAAATTAAAAAATAAGTTTAGAGTTGACCTTCTATTGATCACGTTGGGTATGTTAAAAATAAATGCTTTTTATTTTTTTATATAAAAGTCCCTGCAGGTAAGAAAATAAAACATCCAAATGTGTCATCTTAAAATTATCTCCAACAATCAAATAAACTAAAAAAATAACATTTTCACCATCATCACAACAAATAACTGTCATTATTATAATTATTATAATGACTGTTTGAGGCTGTTTAATGCTCTAAAATGATTAATAAAAATCCAGCATATGATAATCACGGCTGCAAGTCTCTGCCATCGTAATCTGTGGCTTTGAAACTGAAGTTTGGAAACATCAGATTTATTGGACACACATAAAAAGTAAATCGGCTCAAATGTTTGTCTGCACTGCAAACATTAGTCCATAATGTTCAAGGGGTCTGGTGGACCTCTACTGATCTTCTATGGTTGATTTTTGTGCACGACTTCAACAAAGGTGAACCAATTCTAATAGAAGCAACAAAATCATCTCAATTATAATTTACACCTGAGCTGCACAATGTATCACAAATCTATCATCATTGCAATAAATTATAGGTCACTGTTTATGTTCAGTGTGTTAATATATTGTTCCTATTTTGACAGAAGACAGTATGTGTGTGAACTCACAGCATTAAACGTGAGATTACATTAAATTACGGTAAGTCAAATACCTGGAGCCCCATGGCAACTTTTTAAAAACACATATCATCTAAATTTTAACTTAACAGTGTTTTAAAACATAAAGCTCTATTCTTAAAGTTAGCCGCTACTGTAGTAAAGCTTTGAGAGGTGATACTTATTTAAATCTGGAAAAATAAACTAAAAGAGAAAGCAAGCAGCTGCCATGCTAGCTTTCTGCGTGCTCATCAGAGCTGCGTTGACAGAGTAAACTGGTTTGTTTACTGCTGGATGCAGCCGAAGCAGAATCACTCACCTGGCAAACTCAGCCAGCTGTTTAGGGTCCGACAGGTCGATCCCAGGGATGCCCCCAGGGGGCAGCTTCTTCCCCGTCATGTACTCGGAGTAATCCGGCGGCGAGTTCTCCCCAACGATCTGCTCCTCCACCACTGATTCATGGTCAATGTCTTTATCGTCACCTAGGAAGACATTACAGAGACTGAACCGATAACATACTGGTGGAACCCTGGCTGCAGGCCTCGGGAGACTGAAACATGCTCAAGCACTTCCTGTCAGATCAAACTAGAAATTACTGCATGGTGGCACAACTTTGTTAGAATTTGCTTATCCTGACCCACACCTGCATTTCCCAGTGTCTCTAAATAAAAACAACTTGACGTGTCCTGGTACATTCTAATAAGTGTTAAAAATATGAGCTTATTTATATGACAGTGTTTAATATTTACCACAATATATCTCAGCTTGACTGCAGTGGTGGCTGGTCATTGTGGGGGGGCACTGCCCCACCACTATTTTTGGTACACAAAAAATAAAAAAAAATTAAAATAACTAAATAAATTGTTATAAATGTTTCGAAAAATATTGTACATATGTTTTCTGATAAGTAAAAAAATTAGAGTTATTTATGTGTAAACTTCCATTTTACTCATGAGCTTTTTCGTGTTGAGTCACTTCTGGGTCGCGAGCGGTTCACCGCCCCAGATTCCCACAGACAAGTCATTGTAAGATTTTGGACATGCGCGGTAAGTCCCCAATGCAAAAGAACACTGTGGCCTGTGGCGCAGCATGTGGCCGCCCCGCAGCTGACCTCACACAACCGGTAGTGGGTTACAGTACGTAACCAACGTTTTTCAAGCATCAGGATCTGCTCCAGCATGGATTAAAACAGGTAAGAGAAAAGCTAAAAGACTTTTGTAATGCTTGTTAATCATAGTATATTATACATTAATGGTGAACACAACTTAGAATAATATATTTTTATGTTTGACAGATATTAGAAGATATTTTTCTTCTTTCTGCTGCCTTTCTTTTTATTATATCTTGTTTTCTTTCTGTTGTGCTTAGCTTATTTTCTTTTTTGCACTGAAATACATTTTAAAAACAAAAATATATTAGTTTACCTTAGAGATGCAACAATTTGTTGCTATTAAAATAACATTAGTTGTTCTCTATATATTAAATATATATTAGAAAGTTCACTTGTAGCCATCTTCAGACTGAATTAAATTTGTGCATTTATTGTTTTAGTTTTGTGACATCATCTTGAGCCATTCACAAAGCATCTGATCAGAGCTACACTGCTGCAGGCTGAAAGGTTCCTGCAGGACAGTTCTCTGAAGCAGATCTGAAGACCATGGAGGCTCACCCAACGCTGAACAGGACCAAGAAGTCTGATCTAGTTCAGGAGCTGCAGTGGTGGCTCTGTACCAGCTGCTCTTCATGGAGAACAATCTGCAGGACACCTTCAGAGACTGTGACTCTGCTGAAGGTTCTCATCACATCTCCTCTGACCACAGCTGAATCTGAGAGGAGCTTCTCAACACAGACCTTCCTCAGGTACAACATCACATCTCACTGCACTGACCATGCTCTATAGAGATGAATCTGGTTAAAACATCCCTGACTTAAACAAGAGTCATGAAGCAATTTGCTTCTCATTTACAGAAGAGCAAAATTTATGTACAAAAAAAAAACCTACATGACTGTTTCGTTATTTGGATTTGTTTAATAAATACACTGGCGTTAAACATGTTGGATTGCTTTTTGAGAAACGTCTATTTTGGAGTTGTAGCCCCCCCGCTGGAGAAAAATCCATCAGCCACCACTGCTTAACTGCATTCAGAGATTTACTACTTACTTTAAGATCTAAGTTTTAATCAGATAAACTACTGAGCAGTTAATCAAAGTTAAAGGTTGAGCAGATTAATCAATTAAACAATCAACTTAACAGGCAACTGTTTGAAGACAGAGTATTGTGTTTGGATTTCTCACCAATCAGTTGATTATTTAGTAACAAATCCATCAATAATGTAGCTTTTCCAACTGGAAATGAAATCTTTAAGCTTATTATAAACAAGTACATTAAAAATACATAAAGTATGCAGGGCGTTTATGAATCTAAATTATTTTCTTGCTTTATAAATGTAAAAAATAATACGTGCATTTTTACTGATACTTTCAGAAATACAACGTTCTGGTGGTAAACATACTGAGGCACAAACCAGTATGCCTCCGGCTATAAAACAGGTTGGACTGGATAGTTTACAGAACTGTAATATATATTTGAAGCCTCAGTAAACAAAAGCTTGAACTCATCTTATTTATCGTCTTAAATCGGTGATTAGACACCGCCTGGTCACCGTTTATTACCAGACCAGTGCACACACGCGCGCTGCAAAGTCTCTGTTGTTGACTACGAGCCACGGAAGCCACAGCTAACAGCTAAATATTATAATAAACATAACACTTTAGTCAAAATTTCACCCGTAATAAACTTAAACACACAAAACATAATTCCTCAGAGATACGGTGGGTGTAATTATGCAGTAACTGCGCCACAACGCTGCGGCCTGTAAATATACTAGACCCAGCCGCTTCCATACCCGGAGCACCGCCGCCATCTCTGCCTGGCCGACTCTATCGCCATTTTTTCGGGGCCGCCGCCATACTTACTGGTCTGGGGGAATATGGCGGCGCCCAGCAACACATAAAACATGGCCTCCCTTCAAAACAAAAACATTTCGATGTGCCACAGAAGGGTTCCCCGTCGAAAACTTGCATTAAAAATCACTTTTCGCGACGTTGCAGCGGGCTACTCCAGGAAATAGTCTGGTGCAGCAGGACAACGCCCTGGTAATGAGGCCTCATGCGACGGAGCAGACAGAACACGGTTAGGGCTAACGATACTCACCCGATGCCCACATTGTAACGGAAAATTCTCCTTCCAGAGTCTTTATTTGCACCTGCTTCTGTTCCCATTTTCTTCCACCGGCCTCTGCGCCGCTTAAATAGCTCTTTTTGCCCGCTTTCTTTCCACCAGTGCCGCCGCCTCGTTTCACCCGACCTACGGAGCTCTTCCCGGCCACAGTCACTAAAGTCTGCTCGATGTACTCGTCCTCAACACCCGGAGCTGGCACCGGGATGAGAATCTGGTCCTCGAATCCGCCACCGTCGTCCGTATGCAGATCCGAATCATCCCCACCGACCACCTCCTCCCGAGTCTGGACCAGAATTACCTCCTGGTGGTGGTGGATCGAGCTGGGGTCGTCTGTTACCAGGGGCTGGAGCGCGATCATGGGCTGCCCGTCGTCGTCTTCATCGTCGTCGTCGTCTTCGTCTTCATCGTCATCATCCTCGCCGACAACCGTGGTCTCGATAGTCTCCACCGGTATCGTCTCTACCTCGATTTCGTGGAGCTCCACGATCTCGGCGGGCATCTCCGAGCCGTCTGTCTCAATGTACAGAGTATCTCCGGATGCCATGTTGAAATTCGCCAGTTTGCCTGTCTCATTCACACCGTGTTATGCTACTGGTTTTCCTGGACCTCACAAAAACACACTCTTGCACACACCCCCTACTGCTCTGCTCCGTCTCGTCTCCTTGTTCTTCGACAACTCTCCCGTCCCACACCACTTCTCGTCACCACTGGTGCTCTCATCCAACTATCGCGAGATTCCGTTGAACTCAATACAACAACGCATCTGTGGTCCCGGAKGTTCCCGCGAGAGTTCAAAACACTTTGTGGACATAGGCATTTTAAACACTTTCACTTAAAAGTACTCATTTTCACACGAGCCAGGTGTGCCTAGAAAGTCTGTGACTAAAATATAAGGAAGTCTATTAAATTATTTGACAATTGCCTAGCTATTATATGTTATATTTAATATGCTATTACCATATGTTCCCTCTCGGGCTCTGAGATCATCTAATCAGATGCTCCTGGAGGTTCCAAAAACAAGACTGAAGCTCCGAGGAGATCGGGCGTTTTCAGTCATCGGCCCCAAACTTTGGAACAACCTACCCCTCAACATTAGGCTGGCCACCTCCGTTCACATGTTTAAATCACTCCTAAAAACTCATCTGTTCTCTCTTGTGTTTAATACTGGGTGAGCTGACCAAGTGTATTTTGCTCTGTTGTTTTCTTTGAAATTCAGTTATTCTACCTTTTGATATATTTATTGCTGTTATATCTTGTTCTGTCTGTTGTAAAAGCACCTTGATAGCAGTTTATCTGTTTTAACTGTGCTCTATAAATAAAGATGACTTGACTTGACTTGACTATTATAACATATCATTAATAAGTGTGGGATCAGGTATTTGTGAAATGTCAAGTTTAGTTTCATAATTTATTCATAATTAAATCTGATATTTGACTTTTTATTTTGTTGGGAGTGTCAGAAATAAATTCAGTCGCACTGACTCACAATAAACAGTAAAAATACGCACAAAAATTCAGTCAATATAATTTAATTCAAAGATGCTAAAACATAAAACAAGATGAAAACAATGTAATTTAATTAATGACACAAGTAGTTGATAAAGGCACGATCATTAATTAATGATTTAAAAGTCGTAGCAATCCCCGTGTTTTGTTTAAAATTTTAAATAGTAATAATAATTTCCTAGGTACCTACATTAATTATTTGATAACTGATGAGAGAGCACATCATTGTGTTTCAGATGGGAGAGCCATGTAATCTTGTTTAATTAGCATTAATCTCAGAAGATAAACAAATATCATCAAAATGTATAAATGGTTCCAAACAAACCTGCAKTTGGAAGGTAAGATGTGTCAACACTGTCCGTCTCTTCCTGTGATGTGTTTGCTGTGTCGCCTGTTTCACCGAGCTCAAGTGAATGTCGACTCTTCTGCAGCTTCAGATACCGCTGAAATCTGAATTTTAAAATAAAAATGTTGCTTTATGGTAGCTTTGCAAAAGCTGAACTTTTTATAAAACACTTTGATATTTCTAAATGCAAAAAATATGTTATAACTTGTTATAAAACAAAGGGTTTAATAAGRTACCTCAGAGTTTACTGATAAACAAGGCTGAAAATAGTCCACATACTATTTATTGCTTACCGCTCTAGCTTGTTTGCAGTGGCTGGAGTATCGGTGATGTCGTGGTTTAGTCTGTCCTGTGAGGTTTGAACTGCTTGGCCCTTTGTGTCAAAGATTTTCAGGTGGGGTATAAAGTCCGGGTGACCGGGAACATCAACCGGCTTTCCTAAAAGAAAACAGAATAAAAGAATATTTACATTATCAACATGGAACAAAGGCAAGAGAAGAAGAATAAGCTCRAGGTGGCAGCCATTTTCTCCATCTTTTATTATGTTGATAAACTTCCTCCAGATGCTGAAGCCAAATGTGCAGTGGCTTGAAAATGTGCAAAATGTCAGCGACAAAATGAAAAATATAACCCATGTGAAATTTAAAAAGTAGAGAACTACAGCATCTTATCAAGGCATCATTGAGGCACCAGGTTAGATATGTTTATGATGGATAAGGAAATTTATAAAAGTATTTGAATTTTGACTAGCTAAATGAAAGAGAAAAAACTAGCTCTAAAACATGGTTGAAAGCTGACTGGGTTAATGAATACTGATTAAACAATTTCTGATCAGTCATGACCCCATAGAACAGATTTTAAATTGATGTGGTCCTTCATAACAGTAACCTGTGATGACGTGGTGACAGCAGACAAAAACAGAGTTCACTCGCAATGTTTACATTATTTATATCCCTCAAAATGGCGCCAGGTGAAAGCATACAGCTCTACATTTTAGTTCTTAATTTCACAGCAGTAGCAGTAAACTACACCAAATTCCTTACCTGTGACGAAGTGTTCAGAACAGACATAAACGTACTTGACAGAGTCTTTAGGAGCCCACGCAGCTCTGGTTAGAGGGTCTTTTCTCCTGCAAGCTCGCGCCCACCGCTTCCTCCTCTCTGGCTGCTTTTCGGCCGAAGGGAAAACGAAGAAGCGGTGGGTCTGCTTCCCGTGTTCGTCTTTCATTGAATGTCTGTTGTTACACGAATAAATTGAGCACCATTTAGGCATTTCACCCTGTGGGGTTTGTTTACACGACTTTTATCTGCGGTGTTCGACTTTAGTCCCTCAACATGGCGACGCCGGTTACGTGACTCGGCCGAGCGACGTGACGCGGAAGTTGTAGCTCAAGGAGCGGAGCGCCCCCTGGAGGCCAGTTGCAGTATAATTTTAAATCTATTGAAAAAAGAGACTAAAACCAATTTGCAAATACCATTTTATAATTCCCCTGTAATGTGCATTTCTATTACCTTGCTGCTTTACTTTTATTTTATTTTAATTATGTTTAGCTGTAAACAGTTTTTTGATGCTTTAAATCATGTCTGTGTTCAGAGACATGCACATCACACAGAGCTCTACATTTACATAAAACTGTCCTTTCTTTTGTTGTTAAACAATCACTTTGTGAATGGTTTTCAAAAAAAAATACATTGGTAAATTGGGCATACAAACCTGATCACATGTCACAAAATTATGAGCTAAATAACTGTTTTGACAATTTAAAGCTTCAAACTAAAAAAAAACCCTAAAATTCAACGTTTTAACCCAATAATTTATTTTTACTATTCCTTTAAACTTATTGATTGTTTGATCAAACAAAATCACTTGTGTTTTTTTTTTCCAACAGATTACACCAAGTAAAAAATAATTATAATAATCTTCTGGAAACACTGCACTGCTATTTTGTTTCTGCCCATATTCTCTTTTTGCACCATGTTACAACAATTGTTTCTTCATGTCACAAACATCAGACTTGTTTATTATGTTGGATATATATTTTAGAATTTTGCATATCTGTTACAAACTGCAAGCATAATCAGCAATGTGTTAGCAAAATATCCCATGAACCACTGTACAGATTTTATTGAAAGTCTCAAAAAGCGATAAATAGAAAAACAGCTGGTTAAGTTTTGTAGTCAATCTAGTATTTGACTGTCACAGCTAAGCTACCTTAGCAAACACAGAAATTACAATAATTCTGTCATTTTTTCAGATTTTCAGCTAAAAATTAGTGTGTTAGAAGCTGACATTTGACCAATTTATCTTCTTAGCCTGAATGATTGAGACAGCTTTTAAAGCTTTGGCATTAACTATTAGAGTCAAATCTGTTGGTATATCATGAATCACTGCACATTAGATGAAATTGTCTTAAATTATCATTGGGCGTCTACAACTAATTAACTTTTGCACTTAATTAAAGATGGCTGCCACATCTAACAGATCTTTGAAAACAAAGAAATGGTTCAGGTTCTGTCAGTTTCACAAACATCAGGTTAAAATTATAGTTTACAATACATTGTTCAATTACTACTAATCACGCAACGTTGCTTAAATCTTTGGCACAAACTTGGTGTCTGGCTTGTATGTCCGTTAGCAAAATATTTCATAAACCACAGAATGGATTTTAATAAAATTCTAAAAGGATAAAAATTAAATGAACATCTTTTTTAATCGCCGTACCTAATCAGTTTTATCCAACACAAAAATGTCTAGAAGTCAAATTCACCAATATTGAGTTCAAGTTTGATGTTCTGGGTCATTTTCAACACAAAACAGTAGTGATGAGATTTCACTATATCATTTAATATTGTTATAAACTTCAAGGTTTGACTGAAACCACTACAACTCTGTCTTTTCTCATTATAGGTTGGTTTTAGTTTAATCCTCCTGCTGCCCTTWGGTCAAAATGACTCACGTGGCATAAAAGGCAACTGGCGGTATGGATTCCTTCCAGGAACGATAGGCCTTTATTTCATGCATAAATTGAGTATATATCCAAATAATCTGGGATTATTCCAATCATATATTTGGGAACTGTTCCAATTTTAACATAATCTGGCAGCTCACGTTAACTCACCTTTCTGCTGCAGAAGCTGTAATTAATGCTGCCAAACAAAAGCAGCAGGAATCAAAAAAAAGACACCAAAACAAACACAGAAATAAGGAGCCATTCATCCGTTTATCTAAGACATCGTTCACAGTTTTATTTGAATTCTTCTTGAACTTTTAATGTGTTTCTTTTCTTCTGATCAGGAAGCACTTCGTCATAAAAGGAGACAATAAAATGCAGCCAATAAACATTTTTATCAACAACATGATCACAAATACTCGGGTGTGTGAATTTTGTATTTTATGTCTTTCTTTTTTTTTTTCATTTGGACGATCGCAACATCCAAATACTCCACTCTTTGTTTTAGAGTAAAAAAACCTATGATTATTTCCTATAATTTCATTTTTTTCTGCCATGATTCCTCACTGTGTTGGCAAATATCAATGAATTAAATAAAATAAATAATATAATAAAATACAGTTGATGAGAAAAAAAAGGAATAGGATTTGTTTGCAAATGTA